TAAATATTTAATATTAAATATAATTATATTATAATTAATATTATATTATAATTATATATTAATATAATATAATATATATATATACTATATATATTTATATATATATATATATATATATATATATATATATATATATATATATATATATATATATATATATATATATATATATATATATATATATATATATATATATATATATATATATATATATATATATATATATATATATATATATATTAAATATATATATATATATATATAAATACTGTTGCTATATTGCTCGAAGTCTGATATTTTATTTATTTATCCGCTTTTGTTAGTTTTAGAGAAATGGGTTGTATGCCCATGAGTTTCTATTGCGTAGTTTGAGAGCACACTTTAACATGCGCGTGCGATTGAAATCTCATCAAATCTGTAGCTCAAATGGTACAGAATGGGTGAGCTGGATCCCCAGGTCAAACAAGTACTGGTAATTGAGGCAGTGCTATTTCTGGTCATCACTTTGGCGTCACTACTGATGTTCTTCACACACGATGATTGCCATGTCTGGTATGTATATTCCTGTAAGGCTTCTCTGTTTGTTGATTACTTTATGCCATGTCCGACTCGGCGTGAATTTCATAATATAGATCGGAAGTCGATCCATAACTAAAGTTTATTTGCGCATTTATCTTGGCACCTGACATGCAGCGTGTTTGCGTCGTTTCCAGTTCGTTCAGTCAATCCGACAGCGCGTGTACCCATTACGCTATGAATAGGCAATCGCAAGCAAGCTCAATTACATTCTGCTCAATCAGCTCGCAATTGTAAACCTGGGAGAACGTTCAGGCTTTGGCGCGTTCAAGCCTGCCAGTCCACCTATTCGTCTATTTATATTATTTCACCAACTCACCCTCTCTCGATAGGCCGGACTGTCGCCTACAGCCAGGATCCGAATGTCTGGACATGCGCACTATGAACTGCGTCCCATGTGCCAGTGCTCGGTAGTGACTTGTGGCGGCTACGCCTTCCAATCGGCGTGTCAGACCAGAGTTGGCGTTTCGCGGTTGTTACCGTTAAACGAGGCTTACGCCAGGAGTCACTGAGCGAGAATATACTCTCGTACATGTGAAGTAGATAAGCATGGCCAGCTTTACAATCAGTGGTGCGGGAGAATCCGGCCAATGTATAGACCAGCCCCGGATCTATCTGGGGCATAGCTAGCAAGCTAAGCTAAGCTAAGCGTAGCTGTAGTGCAGACACACGTCACCTTCTTATTCAGTCTGGCACGTCATTTACACGGCACATTCTCATAGACGCACAATGTATGCCTGGCTTTGAACTGGTGTGGATATGCCTAGCCGTACTAGCGCGTTTGTATAGACACGCAGCACTCAGCACCGCCTGACTTAACTAGATACAGTACGAGGCTAAGGTATCATAAGTCATCCTAGTGTACGTGGCTAAGGTATCATAAGTCATCCCAGTGTACGTGGCTAAGGTATCATAAGTCATCCCAGTGTACGTGGCTAAGGTATCATAAGTCATCCCAGTGTACGTGGCTAAGGTATCATAAGTCATCCCAGTGTACGTGGCTAAGGTATCAAATGTCATCTCAGTGTACGTGGCTAAGGTATCATAAGTCATCCCAGTGTACGTGGCTAAGGTATCATAAGTCATCCCAATGTACGTGACTAAGGTATCATAAGTCATCCCAGTGTACGTGGCTAAGGTATCATAAGTCATCCCAGCGTATGCAGCTAAGGTATCATAAGTCATTACAGTGTACGTGGCTATGGTATCATAGGTCATCCCAGTGTACGTGGCTAAGGTATCATAAGTCATCCCAGTGTACGTGGCTAAGGTATCATAAGTCATCCCAGTGTACGTGGCTAAGGTATCATAAGTCATCCCAATGTACGTGACTAAGGTATCATAAGTCATCCCAGTGTACGTGGCTAAGGTATCATAAGTCATCCCAGCGTATGCAGCTAAGGTATCATAAGTCA